GTGCCAGGACTCTCACGGGGAGGGGGCAGACCCTGTGCCGGCAGCGGCGGCTGCAGAGGTCGCCCCTCCATACCTGCCGCTGTCATCCTGAGCCCAGCTGTGTGTATGCCATAAACGCCACTGTTTCTAACCCACTTGGTTTCTCTGTCTAATTATTTTGCTTTGTAAGGAGGGTCTTTGTTCTGATCAGGAGCACTGGAGTAGGAGTCCAGCATCCCCTTAGACGTAGGGTGGCAGCCGGGCTCGGTGGCTCAGCCTGTAATCCCAGCACTTTGGGAGGCCGAGTCGAGTGGATTGCCCGAACCCGCGGGTTCGAGACCAGGCCCGGGCAACTTGGCGAGACTTCGTCTCTACAATATAATAAAAAATAGCTGGGCGTGGTAGCGCGCGTCTGTAGTTCCGGCTACTTGGAAGACTGAGGCGGAAGAATCGCTGGAGCCCAGAAGGTTGACGCTGGGGTGGCCGTGAGTGTGTGTACCACTGCACTCCAACCTGGGCCAAGGAGTGAGACTCCAACTCAAAAAAATAAATAAGTAGCGTGACCTGAGACGCTTCCCTGACCTCAGTCTCCCCATCCATAATAGATGAATCTTGCAGTAGGTCCCCTTCCCTCTCCCATGGGGCCGTGGGGAGAATTCAATTGGAATCAAACATACGACGCAGATGGCGATACGTGTAGCAAAACAAAATGCAATTTTAATTCTTAATGATAAGTTTTATTGTGTAAATTTAAGGTATACAGCACTGTGCTTTGGTCCAAGTCAAGTCAATTAACATACCCATCGTGTGACATCCTCCTAATGCCTGTGACAGGAGCGTCTAAAATCTACTCTCCGTGGAAATCCCAATACATATTATTAAGCCCTCTTATTATGCATCAGGTCTCCAGACTTATTCTACATGTCTGCAACTTTGCATCCTTTGACCCATATCTCCCCTATCCCAGCCCCTGGTAATCACTGTTTTGTTTTCTTTGGGGGGGGGGTCTGGGTCTCACTCTGTCGCCCAGGCTAGAGTGCAGTGGCATGATCACAGCTCATCACCACAGTCTCGACTTCCTGGGCTCAGGTGGTTCTTCTGCCTCAGCCTCCCAAGGAGTGGGCCACATGCCCGGCTAATTTTTTTATTTTTAGTAGAGATGAGGTTTCGCTATGTTACCCAGGCTGGTCTCGAACTCCTGGGCTCAAGCAATCCTCCCACTTCAGCCTCCCAAAGTGCTGTGATTACAGGCATGAGGCACTGCGCCATTAAGCCATCCTTAATTTGCAGGTTTGCAAAAACAGTTTCAGACCATAGTGTGCCGACCCCCAGGTTAACCCACAGAAAGCACCAGGGGTGGAATCCGGGACTGGGTGGAGAGACGGGAGGAGGGGTGGGTGCAGGAGGGGCTTCCCAAGCCACGAATACCCATGTGTCCCTGGCCTACCTGTGAGGCCCTTCCTTGGGCTGAAAGCCTCTCTTTGTGCAACCCTACGGGTCATAGATCAGAACGTGAGCCCTGCTCTTTGTTGGGCTGTTAATTTTTTCTGGAGCGAGGGCCTTTGTAGTTCAGGAAGATACGGGTCAGTCCCTAGGGGCAGAGGCCATGCAGAGGTGGAAACCTGCAGAGGAGAGGTGCTAACTCCACTCTCACCCCTGCTGTCTCCTGCAGGTTGCTCTCCAATCTTGCCCAGGCCCTTCCTGTTTGTCTAGTGTCTTATACCTTGGGTTTATTTAATCCAGAGTCAAGGAATGGTGTTCCCAGGCCAGGCATGGTGGCTCACACCTATAATCCCAGCATTTTGGGAGGCCAAGGTGGGAGAATCACTTGAGCCTATGAGTTTGAGACCAGCTTGGGCACCATAGCAAGATACCATCCCTACAAAAAAAATGTTTAAGCTTAGTGGGCATGGTGGTACATGTCTTATAGTCCCAGGTACTTGGGAGGCTGAGGCAGAATGATCAGCTGAGCCCAGGAAGTTGAGGCTGCAGTGAGCTGTGATCACAACACTCCACTCCAGTCTGGACAATAGAGTGAGACCCAACTTCATTAAAAAAAAGTTCCCATTTTACAGACGAGGAACCGGGGGCTCAGAGAGGGTAAGCCACTCATCTAAGCTCACACAGGCTGGAGAGCAAGAGAAGGCCCATCTGACTCCAGAGCCCTGGGCGCTAACCACCAGGTTCCCCTGCCTCCACTCTCCAAGAGAAGAGGATGGGAGTGGGGTCACCAGGAGCAGGCTGGAGAGATGGGGCACGTCACTCAAGACTTGAGCTAGCCAGGCTCGGTGGCTCAGCCTGTCATCCTGCGCCTTGGGAGGCTGAGGTGAGTGAATTGCCTGATCTGCCTGGGCAACTTGGCGAGACCTCATCTCTACAATAAATCAAAAAAGTAGCCAGGCATGGTGGCGCATGCCTGTAGTTCCGACTACTTCGAAGGCTGAGATAGAAGGATTGCCTGAGCCCAGCAGGCCGAGGCTGGAGTGGCCGTGAGCGTGCCACTGCACTTCAGCCTGGGCGATAGAGTGAGACTCCAACTCAAAAAAATGAAAAGACTTGAGCCAACAAGAGTGTGTCCCTTCCTCCCCTGCCTTCTCCTTTCCCATCCGAGGCTCTGGAACAGAAGCTAGTGAAAAGGAGCGACTTGCCCAAGGTCAAGCGGGTCAGGCCTTGGACCCAGGCTCGGCTCAGTCGCCGCTCCCCCACCCCCAGCCCCTGAACGCAGCCACAGGGCTGGGCACCAAGCAGGAGATGCCGCCCACGCCAGCCGCAGCAGAGCCAGAGAGAGTTTTCCATCCAAGAAGGGGGTTTCCAGGTCTCTTTCTCTGGTTGCCAGCGGTCATTGGCCAAGGCCCCTTCCAGCCCAGCCCCCGGTGCCGCCCATCCTCCGAGGCTGTTTTGCACCATCCAGGGTGGAAAACAGCCCTGCAGGTTGCTCATTAAACTCCCTGATCCAGTTTTTCCCAGAACCCAACTACTGGACTCTGTGTTCTTCTGGGCGGGGACTGGCCACACGGGGTCCACCCTCTGTTCCTAAGGCCAGTACACAGCCTTGGGCAGCAGCAAAGTGACTTCTGGTGCCAACCGTGAGATGGCCGCAGGGTGAGGGGTGAGGTCCTCCACACCCAGCGGGTA